CCTCTGGAACCCCCAAAATTCCTCTGAGCCCCCCAAAATGGATCCAAAATCCCCAAAATTTTGGATCCTGGAGTCCCTGGGACCCCCAAAATTTCACTCCTGGATCCTCCGAGCGCCCAAAATTGGATCCAAAATTCCTCAAATTTGGGCCCTGGAGCCTCTGGGACCCCAAAATTCCCCCAAAACTCCCCAAAATTGGATCCAAAATCCCCAAATTTTGTTCCTCGAGCACCTGGGACCCCCAAATTTCCTCTGAGCCCCCCGAAATGGATCCAAAATTCCCAAAATTTTGTCTCTGGGACCCCCAAAATTCCCCTGAGCCCCCCAAAAATGGATCCAAAATCCCCAAATTTGGGCCCCTCAGGCCTCGAGCAGCGCCACCACCGCGTCCCTGACCTTCCTCCCCTCCTCCTCATCCTCCTCGGAGCCCAAATCCTCAGAATCCGACCCAAAATCGCCAAAATCCGACCCAAAATCGCCGAAATCCGACCCAAAATCGCCAAAATCCGACCCAAAGTCATCGGAATTGGACCGGAAGTCGCCGGGATTGGACCGGAAATGGCGGGAATTGGCCCCCAAATCATCGAAATCCGAAGCGAAATCGCCGGAATTCGTCCGGAAATCGCCGGAATTGGAGCCGAAATCTCCCGAATTGGCCCGGAAATTGCCGGAGGTGGGCCGGAAATCACCCGAATTGGGCCGGAAATCACCAGAATTAGGCCGGAAATCGCGGGAGTTGGACCCGAAATCTTCCGAATTGGTCCGAAAATCCCCGGAACTAGACCGGAAATGACCGGAACTGGATCGGAAATCCCCGGAATTAGACCGGAAATCGCCGGAACTGGACCGGAAATCCCCAGAATTGGACCGGAAATCACCGGAATTAGACCGGAAATCTCCGGAACCGGACCGGAAATCACCGGAATTGGACCGGAAATTGGACTCGAGGTCCCCATAATTAGTCCGGAAATCGCCGGAATTGGACCGGAAATCGTCGGAACTGGGCCGGAAATCACCGGAACCGGACCGGAAATGACGGGAACCGGGCCGGTCCCGCTGCGGGGGGAGGGGGTCTCCGCGGAGCTGGCACAGGTTGTGCAGGAGGACGCAGCTGAGCAGCAGCGTGGGCAGGAAGCGCAGCTCGGTGTCGTTGCGGTGGCCGAGGCAGCGCCAGCGGCCCCGGAGCCTCCTCAGCGCCCCCCGCGCCCCTCGCAGGGCCCGGGAAACCCCGCGGTTGAAGCGCCCCTCCCCCACCCCGCGGGGACGCCCCTCCCCCCGGCGGAAAGGGCGGAGCAGCCAGGGCAGGAGGGGGTCGCGGGGGGACCCCAAAAAATAATGGGGGATAGGGGTGGGGGGGTTTCCGGCGGAAATTCCCGAACTTCCGGCGGAGTTTCCGGAGTTCCCGGCGGAGTTTCCCGAGTTCCCGGCGGAAATTCCCGAACTTCCGGCGGAGTTCCCGGCGGAAATTCCCGAGTTCCCGGCGGAGTTTTCCGAATTCCCCGCGGAATTTCCTGAATTTGCAGCGAATTTTTCGTAATGAGCTCCAGGATTTTCGGCGGAATTCCCGGAATTTTCAGCGGATTTTTCCGAATTTCCAGCGGAATTCCCAGATTTTCCAGTAACACGCCCCAAATTCCCACCAGAACCCCCGAAATTCCCATTTTCCCCGCTGGAATTCCCCTTTCTCCAGTCGGAATTCCCATTTTTCCCACCAGAACCCATAGAATTCCCATTTTTCCGGCCGCAATTCCCGCTTTTCCCATATTTTTTCCCTTTTTTCCCGCAGGTTTCCCCATCATTTCCCCCCTCGCAATTCCCAGAATTCTCATTTTTCCCCTTGGAATTCCCGATCCTTTCATCATTTTCCCCATTTTTCCCCTGGGAATTGCCAAAATTTTCGTTTTTCTCCCCGTTATTCCCATTTTTCCCCTGGGAGTTCCCGTTTTTTCCCTCGAAATTCCCAGAATTCCCATTTTTCCCCTCGGAATTCTCATTTTCCCTCTCGGAATTCCCAGAATTCCCATTTTTCCCCTCCGAATTCCCATTTTTTCCCTCGGAATTCCCATTTTTCCCCTCGGAATTCCCATTTTTCCCGCCATAATTCCCATTATTTTCCCCCTGGGAATTCCCAGAATTCCCCTTTCCCCTCCCCCTCGCCTCCATCCACCGGAAGAGCGCCGAGCTCCGGATCCCCGTTCCCGGTTTCTGGAATTCCACGTTCCAGAGGCAGCCCCGGGCGTCCACGGTGGCCTGGAGGGTCAGGGCGTGCCCCTCCCCCACCCCCCGGCCCCTCCCCCCACCCTTCCCTTTCCTCCTATCGCGATAGGCCCCGCCCCCCGCGGGGGGGGGAGGGGCTCGGATCGGGATCCGCAACCGCGCCAGGACCCCGGCAAGGTGGGGGAGGGGCGGGAATGCCGGGAATTCCGGGGGGAGGGGGAGGGGGAGCCCCGGATTTGGGGAATTTCCTGACGGGATTGGGGAATTTGGGGAATTTCCTGATGGGATTCCCAAATTTTGGGAATTTTCTGAAGGGATTTGGGAATTTTGTGACGGGATTCTCAATTTTTGGGAATTTTCTGATGGGATTTGGGAATTTTGGGGATTTTCCGACGGGATTCCCAAATTTTGGGAAATTCCCGATGGGATTTGGAAATTTTCTGATGGGATTTGGGAAATTTGGGAATTTCCTGATGGGATTTGGGAATTTTGTGACGGGATTCTCAATTTTGGGGAATTTCCTGATGGAATTCCCAAATTTTGGGAAATTCCCGATGGGATTTGGGAATTTTCTGATGGGATTTGGGAAATTTGGGAATTTTGTGACGGGATTCTCAAAATTTGGGAATTTCCTGATGGAATTCGGGAATTTTGGGGATTTTCCGATGGAATGGGGGAAATTTCTGATGGGATTCCCAAATTTTGGGAATTTCCCGATGGAATTTGGGAATTTCCTGATGGGATTTGGGAATTTTGTGACGGGATTCCCAAATTTTGGGAATTTCCTGATGGGATTTGGGAATTTGGGAAAATTCCTGATGGGATTCCCAAATTTTGGGAATTTTCTGAAGGGATTTGGGGAAATCCTGACGGGATTTGGGAATTCTGGGAAATTTCTGGTGGAATTTGGGAAATTTGGGATTTTCCTGATGGGATTTGAGGGAATCCTGACAAAATTCCGGAATTTTGGGAATTTCCCGACGAAACTTCGGCGTTCCCGGATCTTTCCGGCAACGTTTGGGAATTCTTGGATTCTTCCCAAAAATCCTCCGACCTTCCAGAATTTCCCGACGATTTTTCACAATTCCCAAGATCTCCCGATAAAATTTGGGATTTTTCCCCCCAAATTCCCGATTTTCGGGATTTTTTCCACAGGATTTGCGAATTTCCCGCCGGGATTTTCCTCTTCCTGCCGCTCCTTCCGGAATTTTCCGCCTGGATTTGGGATTTGGGCCCCAAAAGTTTGGATTTTGGCTCGGAATCCTCCAGGATTTGTGATTTCATCCCAGAATTTTCTGGAATTTGGGATTTTCTACCAGAATCCATCAGATTTTGTAATTCCATCCTGGAATCTGTTGGAATTTGAAGTTTCGACCCCGAATCTTCTGGAATTTGGGATTTTGGGCTGGAATCCTCCAAATTTTGGAATTTCGGGCTGGAATCCTCCAGGATTTGAAATTTTGGGCTGGAATCCTCCAAATTTTGGAATTTTGGGCTGGAATCCTCCAGGATTTGAGATTTCGAGCTGGAATCCTCCAAATTTTGGAATTTTGGGCTGGAATCCTCCACATTTTGGGATTTTAGGTCAGAATCCTCCAGGATTTGTGTTTTCACCCCAGAATTTTCCGGAGTTTGGGATTTTCCACCACAATCCATCCGATTTTGCAATTCCGTCCCGGATTCCGCCGGAATTTTTTGTGTTTTCATCCCAGAATTTTCCGGATTTGGGGATTTTCCACCGCAATCCATCCGATTTTGCAATTCCACCCCGGAATCCGCCGGGATTGGGAATCCCGACCCCGAACCTTCGGGAATCCTCCAACAACTCCCCCCAAAAACTTTCCCCCAATCCCCTCCCAACCTCCTCACCCTGTCGGGATCCCTGGGCAGGTGCAGCTTCATCCCTTCCTCATCATCATCATCATCATCATCCTCATCATCATCATCATCCTCGGCTCCCAAAATCCCAACCACGGCCCCGCAGACGTCGCGCAGGATTTTACAAACCGAGCTCCGGGAAACGCCGAAAGTCGCTTCCAGCGCCCGGTACTCGGTGACGGCTCCGAGGCGCCACAGCGTGAGGGCCAAGCGCACCTCGGCCGGCACCGCCCGGCGCATGGCGGTGTCGCGACGCCCGATGGCCGCCCTCAATCGCGACACCAAAGCGTCGAAAGTGTCCGGGCGGAGGCGGAATCGTTCGCTCCACTCGAGGCCTCCCAGAGATTTCTCTCGCACCGTGGACCAAAAAGCGGAGCTGCGGCTGCGGCTCCAAACGCGGCCGCGGCGCCGCCATGATGGGGTCTGAGAAGAGGAGGAGGAGGAGGAGGAGGAGGAAGAGGAGGAGGAGCGGGTTGGGAGGAAGGCGAGGCGGAGGGCGGAGAGGCGGCGGCGGCGGAGGAGGAGGAGGAGGCGGAGGCGGTGGAGGAGGGCGAGGCGGCGGCGGCGACGGCGGCGGCGGCGGAGGAAGAGGAGGAGGAGGAGGGAGAGCGAAGCGGCGGCGGCCGCCATGGGCGGCGCCATCTTGAGGGGGGCTCGGGGTGAAGAAGGCGCAGCGCGCATGCGCTGCCGCGGCTTTCCCGGCCTTGCGCCTGCGCAGCAAAAACGGCAACGTACGGCAGCGGGGACAAACATGGCGGCGTCTGTGGTGTGTTCTGCGCATGCGCAACGGGGAACGGAACGTACGGAAGTTCGCAGTTAATGCAACATCAGCGTCTTCACTGCGCATGCGCTCAGTCAAAACCGGGGTAAAGGTGAATTTCGGGTGTTCTGGACTGCCAAAATTTGGTGCCGCCCTCCCAGAATTTCGTTCTGGAGTGGATGAGCCGCACAGAATCCCTCTGAGACCCCAAAAATTCCGTCTGACCCCATTAAAGAGGGTTTTAGCGCCCGGAAAGGGGGTCAGTGACCGCCCTGAACCCCCGAGATCTAATCCGGGACTCTCCAAATCTCTGAAATTCCCCCGAATTAGGGGTCTGGACCCCTCTGGAATCCCCTAAAGTCGAAACACTCCAGACCTCGCAAATCGTGGATCGGGATCTACATTTGAGGCTTTAAAGGAGGACTTGAGGGGGGATTTAGGGGGGTCTCGGAGCGCTCCGGACCCAAATATTGGGAGAACCGGGAGGATTTCTGTGGGATTCGGAAGGATTTTAAACTTTAATCGCATTAATAAAGAACTGACCAATCACAGCCCGCCGCGGCTGCAGGGGGCGGGGTTTTCCGCCCACCCATCCAATCGCATTGCGCAATAAAACCTTGACCACTCGCGGCTCTAGACGGGTTTTGATTGGCAGGCCGTATCGACATCTTAACCAATCAGATTACGGGGCGGGTTTAGGCGGGCGGGATTTTCTGGCGCCTCAGCCAATCACGACGCGCGTGAGGCGTTTCCCGCTATTTTCCCCTCAGCGCGGGAGCCGCCATGGAGCCGCTCCGGCCTTTGCTCGTCCCGTTCCTGCTGCCCGAGCACTGCTTCGACCAATTCTTCCTGCGCTTTCAGCTGCTCGATGGTGCCGGAGGGGCCTCGGGGGGCGGTTTTGGGGCTTTTCGGGGCTTTTCGGGCGGTTTTGAGGGGGATTTTAATGCGCCATTCAGCGCTGTGGGGGCGGCCGCCATCTTGGTTACGGGCGGGAGTTGTGAAAGGGCGCCGCCATCTTGGTGTCGGGCGCGGCTAAAGGGGGGGGCGCCGCCATCTTTGTTTTGGCTGTGAGGCGACGCCGCCGCCGCCATCTTTGTTTTGGGTGTGTGGAATTCCCAAATTTTGAGGGATTTTTATGGGTTTTGAGGAATTTTTGGGGAATTTTAGCTTCACACCCCCCTCCCTTTTGTTCTTTCTCCGCAGTTCCGTGCCTGAAAATCCTCCTGAGCAAAGTCCTGGGCTATGGGATCGTGGCGGGATCTGTCCTGGGTGAGGGCTCGGGTGGATTTTTGGGGAGATCTGAGGCGATTTTGGGGGATCCAGGGAGGATTTGGGGGATTTTGGGGGTCCCAGGATATTTTACCGTTGATTTCCGTGGGTTTGGGGGGTTTTTATTGTTTTTATTTTTGTTTTTGACTCCATTTTCACCCCCCCAGTGAAGGTCCCTCAAGTGCTGAAGGTCTGGGGGTAATTTTGGGGTGATTTTTGTGTACTTTGGAATGATTTTTTTGGTTTTTTTTAAATTTTTTTATCCAGTGAAGGTCCCTCAGCTGCTGAAGGTTTGGGGATAAATTTAGGGTGATTTTGGGGTTTTTTGGGGTGATTTTTAAAAATTTTTTTAAATTTTTCTCCCCAGTGAAGCTCCCTCAGCTACTGAAGGTCTGGGGGTAATTTTGAGGTATTTCTGTGTACTTTGGGCTGATTTTGTGGGTTTTTTAAAATTTTTTTAATTTTTTTTTTTTAATTTTTCTCCCCAGTGAAGGTCCCTCAGCTACTGAAGGTCTGGGGGTGATTTTGGGGTGATTTTTGTGTACTTTGGGCTGATTTTTTGGGGGTTTTTTAAAATTTTTTAAATTTTAAAAAATTTTTTTAGTTTTTTTTAATTTTTTATCCAGTGAAGGTCCCTCAGCTGCTGAAGGTCTGGGGTTAATTTTGGGTGGTTTTTGTGTACTTTGGAATGATTTTTTTGGTTTTTTTTTAATTTTTAAATTTTTTTTTAATTTTTAATTTTTTTTTTAATTTTTCCCCCCAGTGAAGGTCCCTCAGCTGCTGAAGGTTTGGGGGTCCCGCAGTGGGGGGGGGCTCAGCCTCCCCTCGGTGCTGCTGGAGCTGCTGGCCCTGGGGGGCTCCGTGAGCTACGGCTGGGCCAGGGGCTTCCCCTTCAGGTGGGGGGCAGATCCGGGGGG